CATCGGAGAAGCCCCTATCGTTGGAGAGCGTTAAGAAGAAAGGCGTCAACTTTGTACGTAGTGGGAGGAGAATGGCCGAGTAATTTGACAGCAGCTACGGACCCTAATAATTTCTTGTGAAAGAAGGCGGAGCACACTGCGATGAACATATTCGGCTAACGGTTTATATTAGAAAACGCACCTTTGCCAGGGCGAATTGCACCGGAAAGAGTTAATAAACTAGGCAACGTACGAACTGCGAATGTTCGTGGGGTTTTATAAAACGAAAAAAAAAAAAAAACTGGAAATTGCAAAAATATTTAGACGCAATTGCAAAGACAAACGTTATTTATAGAACGCGTTATTCAAAAATATCTTTCTACCTCCTAACATTTACATTCGATAGGTACCGATACGTATTATTTACCAAGAAAGTAGAGCAGATAACGGCAGCCCCTCGTCTAAAATATAGTTTGGCTATCAAATATGTAATTTTGATACCCGTGTCGATTATCGACGCGAGCGTTAAATATTTACGTTCACCGGAAGACACGTCGAAACTATAAATCAGTGATGATAAACTCGAGTAGGTTCAGTTTACTGGTACCGTGAATATCGCCGGCGAGTTAAATTACGCCAGCGAAATTCAATGTTCGCGTTTCGCAACTTTCGTTTTCTTCTACTCGACTCCAGTCGATCATCCGTGACGCAAACGAATGTTAACTATAGTTAAGTATAGCCCTTCTATGGAATATGCTCGTCATTAGCACGTTTTTTTCTTCTTTTTCTTCTTCTTCTCCCTTCGACTCGATTCGAGCAAACGAAACGAGAAAGAGAGACAGAGAGAGAGAGAGAGAGAGAGAGAGAGAGAGACAGAGGGAGGGGTGAGCAGAAGTGAACAAAGAGAAGAAAAAAACGATTAGAGAGAAGAGACGGGAGGAGAAAATAATTTCACCGTGGCGAACGTTATTACCCGCGGAAAATCATTGTAACTCGTAATTTTAGAGCGGACTTCTTGCAAATACGTAGCAGAATATAACGGCTAAGCTAACGTTACGGAAAGCGTGGCCGAGACAGGCAGTTTATATTGTCGGTTCTGTTATATCCCGTCGAGCGAGCGAGCGAGCGAGCGAGCGAGTTTCACGGGTGCTAGAAAGAACAACAACTCGGTTAAAAGAGCTGGAACGAGCGAGTACGAAGGTTTATAGGTTCTCGGAACGATCCCGGCCGGGTTAAGTCAAATCGAATGCGCGTGAATACCTACCATAACCGTCACTTTCTTCGTGGCCAGTCGATGATCGAGTAAGCGAGCGGCAAGTATAGCTTTGCCACAGAGATTCCGGAGTCGTCGTCGGCGGGTAGGGATGGGATCAAACTTCGACACGTATCAACGAGTACGAGCCAAGCCCGACGTATAAGTTTCGTTTCACGAACATTCAAAATGCACGTCACTCGCGATTTATCGACGTTCGGATATCTCGGAAATTTCACGTAGTAATCAAACCTTGGAAATCTCTCGTTGGAAGTTCTTGGAGAAGAACTCGAAGGAGAAAGCAATGCTGCTTCTTCATTCGATTTAAAAAAAAAAAAAAAAAAAAAAAAAA